CTCTGTTTGCCTTCGTAAAGAGAGGCCTGCGGGAGAACCACGCATTGATGTGGACCCTCCTATTGGGTGCTGGCGCGACCGTCCACCATCGCAACAAGGTTCGGTTGCAGGTACCCGTTTTGCTCAACGTTACAATGCTAGGAGGCTCGCTCACTGCTGTCGACAGCGATTCGCACGGGAAATCGCCACGAACGCATGGTGTCGCTGGTTCTCTCGACGCAACTACCGGTGCCAGTGCTGTCCGAGGTTCTTCATCCAACCCTTGAAGATTCTTGATGGGACAATATTCGCAGGCGTTGTGGCATGCGCTGCCATATCCCGACCTCCTTGCGCTCCTTCTTGCCGCCGGCGCTGACCCCAACTTGCAGAACGATGTACATCGAAAAATCTCTATTCTGCTATAAACTCGGATTCTAGCTCGGCTCCACGCCGCTGCACGATGCGATCCGAGACCAGGACCTCGCGTCTGCCCATATGCTGATTCCTATGACGAACCTCAACGTCTTGAACGTGGTAGCGTGTCGCCTCCTCGGTGCTTGCGACCAAGAGTTGTTGTAGATGGGGCACTCGCCTCTCACACTCGCCATCTGCAGGCGCGTGTACGACTTGGATATCGTGCGCCGCTTGCTGCAGCACGGTGCCGACCCTCGTTTCGCAGCCGACGACTCGGTACTTTAATCCGACCACTGCACACCGGCGCTCAGATCAAAACTAGATCGACAGCACGCCGCTGTACATCGCCATCGACATGGACCGCGCAGCGATTGTCGCGCTTTTAGCGCCGCTTGTGGAGGTCAAGATCCTGGGACATGTACTCTTTCCTTTGACCGCTAAGGTTGCGATGCGTAAATCGACTAGTCGTACTTGGTTCGCGCACTGTACAACCCTACGATCCTTGCGTCGCTTCTTGACGCCGGCGCAGACCCAAACGTCCGTTTGGAGGTACCTCCGCTTGCATGTACCAACAACATACCCTCGGCGTACATGTAGGATGGACGGTCATTGCTCCACGAGGCGTGCAGCCGCGGGCTTCTTCCAGCCGTCGAGCTACTCCTGCACCGCGCTGGCGACGTTGCTTCGTACCGCCATGTTGGTCTTCGTGTCTCCAGTGACAGTCTCTCACGTGATGTGGTCTAGAACCGCCAGTCGTATCTGGACATTGCTCGGTTCAGAAACCAGCGCCAAATCGTGCGATACCTTCTCCAGACCATCTTTCCCACAAGTGCTCTAAAGACGCGCGATCTCTTTTGGGAACCCGACAACACGCTGGAAGCTGCGTACACGCTCCTATGGTGCGGGTTTGGCACCGCCAAGCCGCTGGCGTACACGCAGGTCGAGCTGGCGTACATGAACGCGCTCTGCCATGCTCTCAACCAGTCGCAATTTTCTGCGTCTGCGCCACAGGATCTTGTCACGGAGGAGCTCAGGCTGCTTGAGACGCACTGCGTGACACCGCTGGGCTTTGTGCCCAACACGGCGTACGGCGTGAGCCACTGTGACGACGTCGACGTCACCGCAATCGCGCTGGCCTTGGCGCCGCTTTGGGCAGCTGCGCCTTATGACGCAGCGCGTCACGTGCGTGACGTTCTCGACCCAAACATGTACTGCGTCGTGGGCAACCACTCGCGCTTCAGCGTCTCGCCCCACGACGGCCGTGCCGTTGCCGCGCAGCAAGTCGTATCGTACTCCAATCCGGCCTCTCGACACATCTCGGCGACGCACCAGTGGCTGCCAACGCCGATGGCCTACGACAAGGTCTCGGGCGCCACGACGTTCGAGGCGTACGTCAATAACGTCAACTGCGTCGCCTTGGTCGCGAGCCTCGAAGACGTCGTTGCGCGCATGGTGCCACTGCTCCGGTATGCGCAAAAACAGCAAATCCGGCAGCGTTTCCGAGCCCGCGGGTGCAAGATTTGTCGCTGCCGTACGACAAAAAGGCCTTGCTGCGGCAGCTGTACCGAGCGCAGTACAACTTGGGACCCCGAGACGTCATTACCAAGGCGCAGCAGCGCGCCTTCCGAGCCGAACTCGCCGCCAACAGCGTCGACCTCGATCCACTCTGGCCCGAGGTAGCCCCCGTCTTGCCAGAGCACGTGCACGAAGGCAGCCTCCAAAACGAGTTTGAACCGTTGCTCGAGCGCGACGACGATAACTCTCGACTCTTGGTTGTGTGCCAAGTCCAGTCGTATGCCGTGTCGCCCGAAGCGCCGACGCATCCCGGTCAACGCCTCTGGCAGCTCGGCTCGGGCCTCGCCAACGATGCGATTGTCGCGACCGGGATGCTCGTCGTGGCCTCCGACAACATTTCGCTGCCGACAATCGAGTGCCGGCAAGCGTTTGGGCACACCAACGTGCGCACTACGGGCGACGGCCGCGAGGTACAGGTTGACCTGCAAACTATCAAATCGACTGTAATATGGCTAGGTGTTTTGCCCCGAGCGCCAGGCATTGCAGATGCAAACCACGGGCTTTGTGCAGCTGCATCCGCGCCGGCTCGTCATGGTCCCGAGCGCCGTGCAGCACCGGCTCTTGGCTTTTCACGCGCTGGACGCCACGCAAAATGGCCATCTCACGCTGCTGCGCGTCTACTTTGTGCACTCGGACGTGGACGTGCTCTCGACGGCTTATGTGTTTCCGCAACAGCGCGCCTTTTTTCTCGACGCACTCGAAGGCACGCGTTTGGCGAACATTCCCGACAGCGTCTTGCGCGTCATCGAAGCGTTCGTGGGTCTAGCCTTGCTGGACGCAGCAACTGCAGACGCCATCGCGGTTCGTGCCAAAGCTGAGCGAGACGACAGCCTCACGCAGTTGACACCAAATGGATTATGATGAAAAGTAGCCCCTTTGAGCTACAGCACCGTATAGACACTCGTAAACGAACGAGCGACTAGACCGACGGCAACTTTTGTCCATAGAAACGACTGTTTAATCTTAAGCCAATGCTCATGCCAAGCGACCATGTCGCGGCAGGCTTTAACCGAAAGGACAGACTATATTCATTTGCTGGTGTCGAAGACCCCATTCAAGGCCCCGAAGAGCACTCAAATGCAAGCGATGGGAATATACTCGTGCACGCACTCGCGGTCGGGCATCGCGCGTGGCTACTACCTCGTCACAAACATCTTCGTAACGTTGGAGTCTATTTTGACCGCAGATTGAGGTACCGTGCTATCTCCATCCATTGCTTGAATTGTACCACGTCCCTCGATATTGCTCGACCTTCTGCGCAGAGAAATTCTTCCACTTGTTGGTACAATCATCATTTCCCCCCTTCCAGCTTGTTGTAAACAAGTCGAGAGTTGGCGTAGAGAGAAACAATTCACCATATATTTGGACAACTGACAGCACCTTATAGACACGACGACGAGAGTGCGATGGCTTAGTGCATGTCTTGCGTCAGCGGCACGTAGCCATCTTCATCGAGATGACCGACGGCCCATCCTTCTTGGACACGGAGACGGCAACGATCGCC